TTTGATATTTTTGTTGATTATTACAGCAACTGCCACAAATACTACTATGTGTAAGTCATCTACGGTTGATTTGACTATGAGGCCACCTCCCAAGGATGGAAGTAAGTTAAAAGGGTCATTTACTTTTTGCAGCCATACTGTTACAAATCGTCATCGTTTCATGTACATATTAATACAGGGTTGAAACAGGTCAGGGAATGGTCAGGGAAAAAATAGTTAAGATCAGGGTAAAGTCAAGGAATTTTGTTTTAGTTCGGAAAGATTAAAAATTTCATACAACTGATTTCATACCATTGAAGGCTGCTTTTAATTATTTCCAATTTATGATTTAATGCAGAATATCTATGCGCAATGTAAGGGGGGGCCAGAATAAGAATGGATTTGACTTAGTTGTTTATTTTTAAGAATCAACCCGGAGATTCTAAACGGCCTTAGCAAAGGTAAGACTCTCACCCTGTACATTTATCATTCAATCTCAATTAGGTGATGAGTTATTCAACCTAAATTGTACTTTCAAAAGAGTAATACAATAGGTTTAACACTCCGGTTTTTTGTTCTAAATGGACAATAAATGCAGTCACATGCAATTTAACAGAGTTAACAACAACAAGCGCGTGTGTTTGCTCATGTTATAGTTAGTAGTTTTTTTGATATGTGCATGCACCAGGATCTTTGTGCTCCTGTACTGAGACTTATTGACAGCCTTCACATCGACTGTTTACAGTGAGTGTTGTTTTGGATAGGAGCTCCCTCCCTCCCTCCCTTTTTCCTCTGTTAGACAGTTCATTGTGGCAGTTCCCTGACTCCCCTCTGTGTGGGGTCTCATGGCCCAATTTCCTGGATTTTCCAGCAATGGAGTGGTCTCCATGCAGGGGCAGGTGCCAAAAGTGGAAGCTCCAGTATCTCTCAATTCTTTACATACAATTACATATATTCCAGATCAAATTATAGTTACAACTGATGATGAGGATGAGAATTCATCAGGGCCGAGTGGTGTTAGGCAAGGTTATGAGGCACAAAAATATCCAATATAAATGTCTAATTCAAAAGTCAAGAAAATTGATTAACCACTGACCAGCAAATTTAATTGTGTAAGATCTTCTGTCATTCATGTGTTTCAAATGAAAAACTTTGAAGCTTAATCTTTAAGTTCCTTATTATTACACACTATTTTTTGAGAAGAAAGATTGCAACAGACAAACTTTGATTTCAATTTGCAAGTCATGACTTTTGCTATACATTATTAGTGTATGAATACTTTTCATTATGTTTCATTACAAACGACACTGCCAATAATATTTTGGTTGTTAACTATTAATTTCAGAGGACAGATCAGGAGTATTTTGCCTCGATGACGAACCTCTAGCAGGTTGGAATATCAATAACTTTTAATGATTAATTATAAATCCCTAAATAATAAAATAAGCATATAACTTGTCAACATTGCAGAAAGGGTTGTTGATTTATTCTCTGGGTAATTTCTATCATGCAGCCAATTGATCTGAACATTTGTTAGTGTGTTTTTAGATGTGGGTACTTTGTCCGAAAATCCATCCTTTTCCGGAATGGAGAGAAAGGGTAAGTTACAACACAATTAATAATTCCAGGCCATGTGCATTTTGTAGTTATTATTTGGTTTCTATGAATGAGGGAGGGAGAGAGAGAGACAGAAAGCTTTCCAATGATCCAATTGACTAAAGAAATAATGAAGGAACATACATCGTGTCCCACCCCTCCTCTCTCTTGCAGAAAGCTTTACAGTTTTATCATAATTTTTACACAATCACCTGTAGAACATTTTATGAAATTGTTTTTGTTACATAACTGCAGTGAAACATTTTAGAATCCAAATCATTTCTTTTTCTATGTGCTGATTGTACCTTGCAAACATGTAGAAAAACCATATTGTAACCTACAAGGTTTTGAGGTGACAGCTTATTTCCATTTGTGAAGATCTGATTATCAAGAAAGTTAATGCTCAAAACAAATAGTCCAGTTGGGAGTTATTTAGAATCGCGGCTGACTCTAATTATCGCAGTCGCGCGATAACATGGAATTGAGGCTTATCCTGAATCGGCTAATGTTGCCAAGTTCGTAATGGCAGAAGACCGCGAAAATTCAAGCGAACACTTCACATTGGGAGATATTAATCGACAGGAACTTCAAAAGAAAACTTTATATGAGCTGAAGGAAATTCTGAAACAGTCTGGTCAAAAAGTTAGCGGGAAAAAGAGCGATCTGGTAGAAAGAATTTGTGGCGTCTTGGCGTCGAGCACATGTGACACTCCATCGACTTCAAAGACAGCAGAAGCGCAGTTTTTAGAACTATCTGCTCCACACAAGAGCAAAGACAATGACTTAAGCTATGATACTCTAATTAGAGATGTCAAAGGGAACAATCTGTGGCAGAAGGACTTGAGAAATTTGCCAGCGTTTGACTTTGTCCGTCTATACGACTACTTGGTCATACAAACAAACAAGTATGATCACATCGCTCTGAAGACTAGTGGCTATAAGAAATTGAAAGCTTTCCAGTTTTTTGCCGAAGGTCATATCAAAGATTTGGAGCTTGCAGAAGTTGGAGGACTTGTCTACATCAAAGGAGAAGTTTTGGCTTCTATGAAGCAAACAAAATACTCAGTCGCAATAGTATTTTCAAACAAAGGCGAAGTACTGAGGGCTGCTTGTAAGTGCCCTGCAGGGTAAGATTATATGATATATTTTCAGTTGCTTATTTTATGAATTGTTTATACCTACTGTACATGTTTACGAGTAGAAATACTAGTGCAAAACTATGCAAACCTCTTTCCATACAGTGATGTATGAATGTGTGAATCCGATTGTAGACGGTAAAATATTGAATCAATGTAATTCAATGAATATAAAGGTCTTTTAGCATGTTTATATTATTTTATCGAACCTGTAATTTCATGTCTTGTCTCAAATACCACTTCATTATTTTTATTATAAATGTATTTTTTGACAGGTTAGGTTCTGGTGGCCATGGCCAATGCAACCATGTTGGTGGTATTCTCTTTGCCATCGAAGACTTCAACAGACAGGGACTACAAAATCGCAGTGAACCAGTTACATGTACTTCAAGGCTGTGTGCATGGAATGTGCCAAGAAATAGTAAAGTGGCTGCAAAACCTGTTGATGACATCAACATTGTGAAGTACAGATATGGAAAGGACAACAGAACTTCTGTTAAATCAAGTGTGTATGATCCAAGAGCCCCATGTGATAGAGTGCTCAATAAAGCAAAATTAAACTCTATGCTTGTGAAACTTAGCCAGCACTTACCAAGTAGCTCTCTTTTTCTATTTCATGATATCAAGCCAAGCCTGGACAGTCAAAATGTTATTGTTGACAGTACATGTGAATGTGTACCACTTAATTGTATAGAAATGGTAGAACTTACCTCAGAACATGATGACATGGACTTGCCATTCAATGACGATTATGACATTGCAACAAAGAAATTCAAGTCAATGATTGATATATATGAAGAGAGAATAACTGACAATGATGTTGAAAGAATAGAAAGGTTGTCACGGGGCCAGGACAATACTTTTTGGAGGGAACTAAAACAGGAGAAACTAACTGCGTCAAATTTCAAAGCTGCTGCTAAGAGAAAAGTTGAACCTGATAAACTTTTAAAGCAAATCATGTACAAAATTGATGAAACCACTAATGTTTCAGCATTACAGTATGGTCACATGCATGAAGATAATGCTATCAATGATTATATTAAATACAAACACTCCCAAGGAAACACAGGCTTGACAGTTTGGAAAGTTGGGACTTACATATCAAAGATTAGACCAGGATTGGGGGCTAGCTTGGACAGAATGGTTTATGATCCTTTGGCACACTGTAAGAAAGGTGGCCTCGAAATCAAATGTCCATACTCTAAACAAGGTATGACAATTGAAGAGGCTTGTCAAGACAAGAATTTTTGTATGACTTTGAAGCCTGGGATGCCTACATTGAAGATAGGACACCAGTATTACTATCAAGTCCAAGGGCAGATGTATGTTTCATGTTTGCAATGGGTAGATTTTGTTGTATGGTTTGGAGCAGACAACCTCTACATACAAAGGATAGTATTTGACAAACAGTGGTGGCACAAGGAAGCTCTACCAAAGCTGGATTACTTCTATCGTCGGGCATTTTTACCCGAAGTTCTGACAAGAAGGGTTAAAAGAGGGGTCCGTCTTTATAACCATGGAGGGTGGCAGCCTTACACGACAAGAAGTTCTTAGTCTTCTTCATTTTATATTAACTAAGAATGAATAGGTACTGTGGGTTCCTAGATACTTTCCCTGCACCAGGACAGACATTTTGTATGCAACAAAAAGGAATAGACATAGATCATAAGTTATGTCAAAGCCATATACCAAGAATCCACAAGTGGCATAGGTTTGTTATTAGTTTGTACTTTGTAGTTTTTGCTTAATGGCAAGTTCAAGTGCCTCTACCATAAAAACTGAGAGTAAAAGTAAAATATTAATAGCTTAGCATGCTTTTTGTTTGAGTTTACTTCTTGAATCAATTCTACTGTTGTGTTAGAATATTAAGTTATTGGAGTGTATCAGACATGCTTGTAATATAACCTTTCAAACTATTATTGGACAGATGGATTTTCATAATCAGGGGGACATTCCATTTTACAGTTCCATTGACAGCAACTTCAGCCTCAGTATTATGTAATATATTCTTTATCACAGTTCATGGTATGTAAAAATGTACACAACTACAATATTGCATTAACCAAGAGAATTTAAAAAAACTATTTCTTTTATGCTGGAGTTAGTTAACACAACTTCAAATTGGAATATTATTAACTGCAAAGTAGTAGTAACAGTATCATTGTAAATGTTATTGCCTCACATGTTTATTATTTCAGTATTCAGTTGTCATTGATGACATCATTTAATTCAATTAATCATTTGCATAAGCATATATTGTATATTTTTGACAGTAGATGTAAATCAACTTCACATTTGAGGCTCAAGAAGAGGAGTTAAAAAGTTAGTAAGATAAGCACATACAAAAAATATTTGATCGGCTACGTGTGCTAAACTCAAAGGTAAAGTACCTTCTAGAATATGATAGTTCTTTATGCGACCAATAGCACGCTCAACATGTATCCTCACTGATGCAATGCGGGCTGTTTCCTGGACTTCATCAGCTGTCAGCTGGTCTCTGATGCCCTTAAAAGGTGGGATATTCAGGTGACAGCCTGGTGGCAAAATACCACCAATATCAAATCCTCTGTCAGCCATTACATTGTCCCCAGGTTCTAATAAGTGCATCACTCCTGATTGTTGTGTGATTTCCTTGTCAGAAACACGGCCACCCCATAGCTTTGACACAAATGTCACTTGACCATTTGGTGATATTCCTACTAATACTTTGAAAGTGTTATGATGCTTGTAGTTGGACCATGTCTGTGACTGTGCAAGCATTGAAGATGGAACTTCAACATAAAGCTCAGTACAATCAAGAATGATACGAGTAGTTGGATACAATCTAAACTGATCAGGCATGTTCTTCCTTACAAGATACTGTGAAGGAAAGGGAAATACCAACTGCAATTCTAGCTTTAGAAAGTTCACCCAGGTACAAAATATTCTGGAAAATTGTCCAGGAGATATTCCAAACCTACTTGCAATATCCTTAACAAAGAGACCAACTTTCAATCTTACCAAAACCATAAAAAATTCAGTAAGTGGTGAAAGTTTTCGCTTTGGCCCAGGCTTTCTTCTTCCCTCTTCTTGATACGCATATGAATCTGGTGCATTGCATTTATTCCAGTATTGCAGCTTTGCAAGTTTTTCTTTGAAATATTCATAAAATCCTATTAAAGTCTCATAGCTTGGAAAGCCAGTGTAAAATGTAATTGCATCATTGTCATCTTTAAAATTATCCAGTTTAAATTCACGATCTTTGTACTCCTCTAGTTCTTGTTGTAGGTTGCCAGGTTGTTTGCCATGTACATTAAAGAACATTTGCAAGCTTTATGGTTATTTTGACAACTTTCTATACAGTGCGTGACATGTTTTCAGTTGAGTTATTCATGAACCACAAATGAGATATCAGTTTGGGTTGACACATCACACTAAAAAAAATATGTCATGTGATAACGTAGGTTGTTTGCCATGTACATTAAAGAACATTGCAGCACAAAGATGCAAGCTTTATGGTTATTTTAGGACAACTTTCTAAGGTTTATGTGTAGAGTGCGTGACATGTTTTGTTGAGTTCATGAACCACAAAGGGTGTCGGGAAAAAAAGAGAAAAGCATGTGCTCGGAGTTTTCGAATAAATACAACCTTGTGTTTAATTAATCTGGTGATTTGAGTGTGTAACATTGGCGACCCCGCCAGGACTCGACCGAAGAGGCTTATCATCGACGAAGAACTGCCTTGGGTTGTGAAGGACAAAGTAATTGGCACGCTTGGTTGATTCGTCGAGCGCGAGTTGGTTGTGGTCGATTGCTGTCGACGGCGGACTGATCTTGACGTAAAGTGTCGCATTTCTTTTGTGAACGGCTGATTGCACTATTGGTGAGTACGAAAGATTATTTTTGGAAGTATGATGGATACCGAGAGTCTGCAGATCGAAATTCAGGCCGCGTTGTGTTCCTTGAGCGAGGAAAGGCTTAAAGAAGTTTGTAGTGGGCTGAACATTACTGTACCGCCTGAGAGCAAGGGAAGGTTGGTTTTTATCCGAGCTCTAAATAAATACCTCGAAACGGAAGAATTAGATAATGAGAAGCTCAAAGTGTTGTCGTCGTCTCTAAGTATGCAGGGAAAATTTGTACCGGAACAGAAAACGGAACCGCCGAAAGCTTCTGAAAATAATAAAGCGACCGTCAAAATAGAGCAAAATCCCGTGGTGTCAATTTCAAAATTCAAACGCGACTTCAAGATTTCGGGCCAGATTGGCGACGCGTCGCAGAAGGATCGTTTGAGTTTTTCCTCGCTAGTGCATCAAATTGAGAATGGTTTAAAGAACGACTATACAGAGGATGAAATTAAAGAGGCTGTGATAAAAGCGATAAATCCGGCGTTAAGCCTAAGAAGTTATTTGGAGGGTAAGGTAGATTTAACACTGGCCAAATTGAGGAGAATTATGCGTTCTCATTATCAGGAGAGAACAGCAACCGAACTATATCATCAGTTGAGCTCAACTGTCCAACAGCCAAAGGAAAAACCTCAAGAATTCTTGATCCGCCTTCTCGATTTGAAACAGAAGATCTTGTTTGCATCTCAAGAAACTGACTCGGACCTGAAATATGATCCTACCTTAGTACATGGCATGTTTGTCCATAGCTTTTCCCTTGGCCTGCAAAGTGAGAATATCAAGATCGAAATGAAGCCTTACTTGGAAAAGAAATTTATAAGCGATGAAGAACTATTCGAGAAATTAAATGTGTGTTTCAGTGACGAACTGGAGCGATCACAGAAATTCGGTTCACAGCTAACCCCCAAGGTAAATGCTGTTCAAAAGGGAGGGGACAAGCAGGAGACAAAGAATAATGGGGTGGAGGAAGGTCTCATGAAAGAACTAAGGGAGCTCAAGGCAGAAGTGGCCGCAGTCAAAGAGAGAGTTCGGGCCCCACTCCGGGCTCAAACCCCCTCACACAACAGCCTATGAGACAACCCCCACTGTGTAGGACCTGCCAACAAAGTGGGAATGGATGGCCGTGCAACCATTGCTTCAGGTGTGGGGCGAGTGGCCATTATGTACGCGAGTGTAATGCCCAATTCAGCCGACGCTCTCCGGCAGAATCTCAGGGAAACGGCCAGAGGTCACGCCCATGGGACAGGGTGTGACCAGGCAAGAAAATCAGTCCCGTTACGTGCAGTGTGGAAAACAAAGCACAGACCATGTACCACTTAACCGCTGCGGAGCCTGTAAGATCAATAGATATTATTCAAAAGAATGTCAAGTAAAATACAGAACTGTGCATAAACCAGTTTGCATGGCTATACAGGAACTTGAGAAACAGAAAGCAGCCGGAGATGATGGCGATGATTTGAACACGACGTTTCCCTGCCACCTGACGCCAAGGCAGCAGCTCGGACTGACGAAAATCGTGGGACGGAGGTGCGTGGTAAAATGCCTAATTCAAGGAAAGGAAGTGGAGGCATTATGGGATACAGGTTCCCAGGTTTGTGTTGTGTCAAGGAAGTGGCAACAAACTCACTTACCGCTGGAGGTGTTAAGAAATGTTGAAGAGTTGTTGGGAGCAGGAGAAGAGTTGAATTTGGAAGCGATGAATGGGACAAACATTCCATTTGACGGTTGGATTGAGGTCGGGTTTAAGTTGGCTGGAGATGATACAACTGCTCATGAGCTGACAGTTCCAGTACTGGTGGGACAAAAGGAACAAGAGTACCCAATCATTGGCTTCAATGTTATAGAAGAAGTCCTCGCTCAACATGGTGGAAACCACCAAGCGGCAAGTAACATCATTCAGCAGTCATTCCCTTCAATTCATCATACTCGCGTAGGTACCCTGATCAATCTGATCCAGTCAAGAACACAGGATACCGGTACTGCAGCTGTTAAAGTCGGAAAGAGAGATGTTATGCTGCCAAAAGGAGAGGCAACGACAGTTAAGTGTCAAACTCACCTCGGACCAGTTCCAGAGGGGATGCCAGTAATATTTGAGCCCAAGGAAGACAGCGAGCTCCCAGACGGACTGGAATTGGGCGAGGAACTTACTAAAATAACCCCGGGAACCTCTAGTCACGTGGCCGTCGTGGTCCAAAACAATACAGACAGAAACATCTTGTTAAAGCGCAGAACAGAATTGGGCCGGATACACCTGGTAAAGTCAGTTCTACCAATTCCAAATACTCCCGACTCGTACTCTCGAGGAGACGAGAATTTTTACCCTGAAGCTACCTTGCATCCTGGTCAGGAACAAGATGGATGGGAGCCACCAGTTGACTTGAGTCAGCTAGAAGACAATGAACAATTGATCGTCCACGAAATGCTACGGCAAGAAGCTGGTGCCTTTGCAAGAAACGACGATGAGGTTGGCTGCGTGGAGAACTTGGTGCTTGATATCCAGTTAAAGGACAATGAGCCAGTACAGAAGAACTATATCTCCATCCCCAAGCCACTCTATGGGGAAGTGAAAGAGTACTTAGAAGACTTGATTAATCGAAATTGGATCTGCAAGTCCCGTTCGGCTTACTCCTCACCCATGGTCTGTGTTCGCAAAAAGGATGGAAGTCTGCGACTTTGTATTGATTATCGAGAATTGAACAAGAAAACATATCCAGAACGACAGCCGATTCCCCGTATACAGGATATCTTAAATGGCCTAGGCGGCAACAAATGGTTTACAGTTCTGGACCAAGGGAAGGCCTACCACCAAGGCTTTATGACAGAAGAAAGCCGCCCCCTGACTGCATTCGTGACCCCCTGGGGATTGTATCAATGGAATAGAATACCGTTTGGGCTAATGAATGCACCGGCGGCATTCCAAAGGTGCATGAATGAATGTCTAGATGGCTTACGTGACAACATCTGTATTCCCTACCTGGATGATGTCTTGGTGTATAGTAAGACCTTTGAGCAACACGTTCAGGATGTCCAACAAGTCCTGCGTCGACTGCAGGAACATGGGATAAAGTTAAAGCCATCAAAGTGCAAGTTCTTCCAACGACAAGTTAGATATTTGGGGCGGGTTGTTTCCGGCGATGGCTACTCTCTAGACCCAGAGGACACGGCTGCCGTACACAACTTGGCGAAACAGAAACCAGCAACAGTGGGTGATGTGCGTAAACTGCTAGGGTTCCTGAGTTACTACAGGCAATACATCCAGGATTTCTCACGCATAGCTAAGCCCCTGTACGATCTAATGGCTGGCCCTGATCTATTGGCTAATAATCATAAGGTAACATGGACAGAGGAACATCAGAAGCGGCTTGACATGCTGGTCGACCGACTGACTTCTCCTCCAGTGATGGCATTTCCCGACTTTACGAAGCCATTTGTACTTCACACAGACGCCTCGCAAGAGGGACTTGGAGCTGTATTGTATCAAGAACAGGACGGGAAGCTCAGAGTTCTAGGTTATGCCTCTAGGACACTAACTCCAGCAGAGAAAAATTACCACATGCACGCGGGAAAATTGGAGTTCCTTGCCCTCAAATGGGCAGTAACTGAGAAGTTCCGTGATTACTTGTACTACTCCACCTTCTTCACTGTTTACACCGACAACAATCCACTAACTTACATTCTGTCGTCAGCTAAGTTGTCTGCAGTAGGGCACCGGTGGGTGGCAGAACTGGCAGATTTTAATTTTAACATCAAGTATCGGCCTGGCAAATCTAACATTGACGCGGATGTACTATCCCGCCTACCGCTAGATTTCAGTGCATACATGGAAACCTGTATTGCAGAAATGGAAAAGGACGCAATTTGTGCAACAAGTCAAGCAGTGATCCATCAGGAAACAGACGCCACACCCTGGGTGGCAGCAGTTTCAGCAAGAGTTGGCATTGCTCACGCAGAACCGGGCGTCACAGATTTGGTTTTTCGCCAACTTACGTTAGAAGAAATATTAAGGGCTCAACGGGAAGACCCCGACATCTCACGAATCCTGGCCTACAAGAAACGGGGATATCCCCCATCAGGAGGAGAGCGGAAAAATGAGACTCGTACAACATCTTGCTACTTGAGAGCATGGAATAAACTCCATATATCAGCGGACGGGATCCTGTGGCGCCAAATTAAGAGTCGATTGCAGCTAGTATTACCTACAAAGTTTAAACAGTTGGTTTACCAAGAACTTCACATTGAAATGGGTCATCTGGGTGCAGATCGAGTGGTGGACTTAGCGAGATCTAGGTTCTATTGGCCTTACATGCAAGAGGAAATCGAGTATTTCATCGCCAACAAGTGTCACTGCATCCAGCAAAAGAAGCCCCAAATCTCCCCTAGAGCACCAATGGAGAGCATTACGACGACTGCCCCTTTTGAGATG